TACACGACCAGCTTGGAAATAAGTATGTAGCTACTACTGTTAACAACTAACCTTTGCAAACACTTAGATTGTACAACTTCATTTATATCTGTACTACTCTTCCTCACATCTAGCATGCGGGTGATCCCTATCAATATCTTATGTATTATATGATCAGGAAGGTGTTGTAGATCCATCGAACTAAGGATTTTTTGGCATCATAAGTTTGTTATTATCATCATATCATCATATGCTATCCTCATGTATATGTATATATATTGTGTTTTAATTCAAATGTATTGCTATAGTCCTAGTGTAAACTATATAGTTCAGATCAAGCTTCAGAAATCAATACATCAAAGATTAATATATATATATATATATATATATATATATATATATACCAATACATTATCCTCATGTATGTGTATATATATTCTGTTTTAATTCAAATGTATTGCTATAGTCCTAGTGTAAACTATATAGTTCAGATCAAGTTTCAGAAATCAATACACCAAAGATTAATATATATATATATATATATATATATATATATATATATATATATATATATATCTGATGATCGAAAAGATTTAAATGAATGAAATTGTGATAAAAATTTAGAGGAACAATACTAATAAATTACTCTCATCCATATGCAGATGGTCAGTCATTTCTGCAAAACTACCTGGAAGGACTGACAATGGAATAAAGAACCATTGGCACACCAACCTGAAGAAACGTGCGAAGAAAAATCAAGTGTCGTCTGAAGGGGAAGATCAATCCGGTGTAACCCAATCCGAAGGGTACTTGAAAGATCAATCCACTGAATCTTCAGAATGTGAGACCAACAAATGGAGATCTAGAGAATCGACACCTGAAAATGTTTTCGTTGATGCTCCATTATCGCAGCAAACTACTTCAGCCAGCTCCCAACTGTCTCCACAACAATCTTGCAGTGAGTACTCCTTGAGCTCTGATTATGCATTTCTAAGTGGCATGAGCTGGGCAAAAGAAGAAACCAACACTCCGCCCCAATCATTTGCAGAACCTATTGGAAATTTCTGGACGGAACCTTTTTTGGCTGACACATCCTACAACCAGATTAATGATCTTTCATCACTATTTGTTGAAGGAGATCAACTTTTGCATCCATATTTTTTGTGTCAACATGATGCAATTGATTTGGCCTACCAATGGATGCCAGAACTTCCAGAAAAGTAGATAATACATGAAGATATTTCGTCTTTTTAAGAAACTCACACGCTATGTGTGTGTTGTTCTTCAGGAGTAGAATATTGCAGTATCTGCATAATGCACAAATTAGTTGCTTGAGTTTTAGTGTGTGGAAAATTAAAAAACAGAAATAAAAGAAGCAATAGAAGCGAGTTGATCGAATGTATGTTTTAGGTTGCCATATATCTTAAGCTTGTATGCTGTTGTTGAAGATGCTTTCGTTCGAGCTAGTTGGGCTTGCCCTTGTTTGTACAGTTTCCATTTTCAATTTATATACTTGCTTGCCTGGCTAGAAGAAAAAAAAAGTTCAATATTGTATGTTCTGATCATGAAAAAATGTATCAATTTATGTGTTGATTATGAGCATAAGCTTCTTCCCATTATTTCTACTTAAACCAGATCAACTTAGATCATTAGATTCTAGTCTTGTATGATTGAGATTCATGGATTGCCTTGTTTAAAATTTATTTTAAACATTGGATTTTAGAATTTAGGAATTGAGTTCATTTAACGGAATTAGTATACTCATTATCTTAATTTTAAAATTTATGATTGAGATTCATATATTGCCTGGTTTAAAATTTATTGCAAACATCAGAATTTAAAACTTCTAGGAATTGGTTTCATTTAACCAAATTAGTACAGACTTTGTCTTAATTTTGTTTTTATGTATATAAAATCCCATTAATTTGAAGTTTCTAGTTAATTTGTTCTCTCTCTCAAACATTCTGTCTCCTCATACCTTGATTTCACCAAGATATAAATTAGGAAATTACTTTTAATTACAACTTATCGAAAGAAATCTCTCTTTTGAAGACAATCTCCAGTTTGAATGTGTTGTTTCTCTTGTTGAGTTTGGGTTTCAAATTAATCATGCAATTAAATTCCTTACCAATGACCTAAAGTATCTTCATAAATTTTTCTTAAGTTCAGTTCCTCAAGGAAATTTTTCTTTTTCATTTTTTTTTTTCACCACAACCCAATATAGATTGATTGTTTTCATAAACATCTTCAATCAAAATCTTTAGGTAAGGTACATCTACATGTAAATAATCTTTAGAGAATATAGCTCTAGAAACAAGGCTGTGCAAAACAAATATACATGTAAATATATAAGGAGTCTACGCAAGGTACCTATAGTTACATAGAACTCACATGGGTTGACTTAATGTACATGTAATAGATATATTTTGATTTTTTTTTTTTTTTTTTTTTTTGTTAGTTATTTTAATGTTCTGCGTGTTGGCTTCTTAATTTGATACATGGATAACAATGATTATTAAATTTTAGTAACATGTACTAAAACTATAAGCATCATCAGAAGTTTTGATGCAGGTGCAAAATAATAGTGAGTACGTCCACTGCTTTGTGCTTGCAAGGAGATAAAATATGCCAAATACGAGATACATATGGTTAATAAAAAAAAGGGTTTAAATCTCTCTCTCTCACTCTTGTAGGTAGTCTTTGACTATGTCATACGAAATGAGATACACATAGTTAATGAAAAATGTTGAAATATATATATATATATATATATATATATATATATATATATATATATATAATTGTGGATTCTTTAATTTGTACTTGCCTTTTTCTACATTCTGAGTAAGAAATATTGAATTCCAAAAAGAAAAATAAGCATCAAAATAATTTAGCTTGACTTTCTGGTTTTCTAGATTCATTTCAACATTATCCATAGCAAATAATACAGTTTTAAAACATGGAATAATCTTTAATAATTGTATGAAAACTGCCTTTCGTTTTTTATTTTCAAAATTATTTTCAGAGAATTGGAGCAAGCAGATACAAAATTTGTCTTATTCTTTTCCTGCAGGTTTCATGGAGGAACTCAAATAATCATGAAAAAATCGACCTTTATAGGATTTTCTAAAAACTGAATGAAATTGGATGAAGATATTTTTTTTCGGTAAGTAATTGGATGAAGATATTGTTCAAATGAGTGAATATAAATTGGAGGATAAGATTCTTAATTAGTTGTGTTTATATATTATCCAAACTTGAATTGATCTCAACTATATATATATATATATATATAAGAGAGAGAGAGAGAAAAGAAATAAGTTTCACTTGTATATATATATATATATAAGAGAGAGAGAGAAAAGAAATAAGTTTCACTTGTATATATATATATATATAAGAGAGAGAGAGAAAAGAAATAAGTTTCACTTGGCCGGGAACAGTGAGCATCAGTCAGCGTTATAATTAAATGAAGATGAAGACTGAAACGCGCAAGCCTATTTCTTCTATGTGCCTTTCTGTCATTTTCATTTGTATGTTCATTTTCATGATTAATGAATTTAATGGACTTTGGCTGGAGGATTTGACTATATCTTCATCCAACCACCATGTTATTAATAATAAAATTATTTTATAGTACTAGTTTTTATTTTCTAGTGTAAACACTGAGGATACCAGAAGGAATATGGGCCGGATATGATCTGCAGACATGGCATCGAGTCAAACAATTGAATTCAGCCCATACAGGAGCACCGCAGAATGGGCCGAGCCCGGAGAATCCATCGAAGAAGGCCAAGCCCATTGGAAAGAAGGCTCAAAACTGATAGTCCAGCAGCACTTGTAATTACCTATAAAAAGGCAGTGAAGAGAGTGAAAGAGAGGAGAGGATTTTTTTTAGTTGAAAATGTAATGAGATTCTGTCCAAATAGAGAGAAAAAATTCTTTGCATCTTCAATTGGCGCCGTCTGTGGGAAACGATGAAGAACATTCATTCATGCTTAATCGATGTCATGTTAATTCAAACTGATCCGTGAAGACGAAGCAAGATTTCTAGAAATTGAGTCCAGATCGGAGAGATTGCAGTTTTTTTTGAAGGAATTCTTGATTACTGTTGGTTTAGACGTGTTTGCGTTGGAATTACGCAGCTAAGATTTGCTTGATTGCAGTTAGATCCGGTGAGTTAGAAGCTAGAAAGCTCAGATCTAGCGAACTGTGATCGCGATTCGGTGAATTTGAGTCCAGATCCAACGAGATTTGCATCAGTAAAGTTCAGATTTGATTAAAATCTTGTGATTCATGCCTTTGCTTCGCTCCGGAATCATGATAGGAGGCGAGAGCTCCAATCCGGTGGAGAATGTCCAGCAGATGAAGCTTGATGAGTTAATGAACATGATCGAAGTTCTCAGGAAAGAGAATGCAGAGCTAAAAGCTGGAATGCAGCGCCAAGAAGCTCCGGCGATTCTGCAACCACTTCCGGCAGGTGAGGAGGTTATGCATCCTGTTGTCGCGCGTCAAGGTGAAGAGGAAGAGAACAATCTGACAAATCCTCGTCACGAGGAGGTTACGCTAGATGATTTGCCACTAAATCCTCGTTGTTTTGATGATCGAGAAGGCTCAATTCACTTAGATCCACGGCATGAGCAGATCAGGCGGAACGAGGCAATGACTTTTAGTATCAAGAGAGGTTTAACCGAGAAGAAGCTGTGGAGTTCGGACACCAGAAAACTACACCGATCTGGCAGAAGGAATACATGGAGGAAAGATCATCCGATTCGCTTTATCGACCTTCAACGGTTACATTAGATTATCGAAGCTCAAAAAGGAGATCTACGGATCAGAGAGCTGCTGCAAGGTTCCACAGAAAGAACGAGGCCCTTCGTTCAACAACTCGGACGATTGACTAGCCGTTTACCGATGAAATTCTGAATGCTCCAAGTCCGAATAAATTCTCCATGCCAGTTTTCATCCTGTTTGACGGAACGACTGATCCAATCGATCATGTATATCATATCCAATTGAAAATGGCACTGAACACGGAGAACGACTCCTTAATGTGCAAATGTTTCCCAACAAGCTTGGCTGGACCAGCGCTTAATTGGTTCAAAAACTTACCGAGGGGATCAATTGATAGTTTCCGAAGCCTTTGCGATCGGTTCATCAGCCAGTACTATGGGAATAAGTGCCCGGCAAAAGATGTCTCCAGTCTGTTCACGATGCAGCAGCATGAAAATGAACGCCTCCAAGCTTTTCATACTAGATTCAATTTAACCAAGAGCATGGTGATCGAGTGTCATCCGTCCACGGCGGTTCAAGCATTCAAACTGGCCATGATTCGTGGGACTCCGTTTCACACAAGTCTAGTGGTGAACATGCCGCAGACCATGGATGAGCTGAACGAAAGAGCTGATGGATTTGTCCATTTGGAAGAGGAAGAGGCAGCTAATGCAAGGAAAACGTCAATTATTTCAACGAAGGAAAAGTCCAAAGCCAAGATCAGGTAAAAACCAGCTTCATCGCAATGGCAGATCCCTTGGATAGTAGAAAAAAGGCACAGGGAAGAGGAATTGGTCACTCCATTGAAAGTAACCCTAGCAAGACTGTACCAAGAAAACAAAGATAAGTTCCGACCTCCTTTACCTATCAGACAACCCCTGGAGCAGAGAGATAAGTCTAAGCATTGCGCTTTCTATTCTGATTTTGGCCATCAGACTAACAAATACAGGAACTTAAGGAGGCAGGTGGAGATGTTGATAACCAGAGGGGAGTTCGCAAGTTATATTCAAGGCTCGGCGGTAGAGCAAAGCCGACCGGCGAAGCAAGTGAAGAGAAATCAGAAGTCGAACTCCCACAACTCGCAACCAGTTCGAATAATCAATACAATTCATGGCCGGCCTGAACGTGAAGAGTCAGATGAACTGCTTCGAACACAGCTCCGCCAGGCGCAGATGAAGAGGAGGATAGGCAGTGTAAACACTCTGCACCAACAGAGCGTATCAACACAGATAAAGTTTGATAGAACAGATCTATTGCGTGTTCAGATCCCTCATGAGAACCCGTTAGTTGTCAGTTTGACAGTGGCCGAATATTTGGTATGCAGAGTTCTGATTGATCCTGGAAGTAGTGCGAACGTTATGCCGAGGGACACATTTGATCGGCTCGAGATCAAGCCAGACCATCTCAAGGCCACTGGGAATCCTTTGCTAGGGTTTGATGGAGAACGACTGGAGCCCATTGGTACGATGGAAGTAGCAGTGCATGCTGCAGAGAGGGTTCTAATAGAGAGCTTTGTAGTTGTCGAGATTCATCCCTCTTACAACCTTCTGATGGGCAGAGGGTGGATCCATAGAGTTCAAGGTGTTCCTTCCATTCTGCACTAAGTAATGAGATTCAGAGAGGTCCAAGGTGATTGACATTCATGGGGACCAAGTTGCAGCTAAGGAATGTTATTCAGTAACGCTGAAGTATGCTGGAAAAGGGAAAGCACCCATCCGTTTGGCAAGCCCTAGATAGCAATTACAGGAGCCTCCCCCCAAGCAGAATGAGGAGGAGGAGCTAGTGGACTTGACCGAAGAACCCCTAGTTGATGTACAGATTGATCAGTTCCGACCAGAATGAACAATCAGAGTGGGGGTACGACTTGCTGAGGGGAAGGAACAGGAGTTAGTTGATTTCTTGTCTCAGAACGCCGATGTATTTGCATAGAGCCACCTAGACATGCCTGAAATCAATCCTTCCGTATCATGTCACTCCTTGAACGTTAATCCCAATGCAAGACCTGTAAAGCAGAAGCAGCGAAGGTTTGCTCCAGAGCGTAACCGGATCATAGCCGAGGAGGTTGATAGGCTGCTTGATGCGGGATTTATAAGAGAAGTGTACGATCCTGACTGGTTGTTAAACGTTGTTGTTGTGCAGAAGAAGAACGGGAAATGGCGAATGTGCATTGATTTCACCAATTTGAACAAAGCCTATCCGAATGATAGCTTTCCGTTGCCAAAAATTGATCAAATGGTGGATGCTGCTCTTAGGTATGAGCGTTTAACCTTTTTAGATGCTTTTTCAGGTTATAATCAGATCCCCATGGACTCTGCTGATGAAGAGAAAACTTCTTTCGTTACCGAGCGCGGGACCTATTGCTACAAAGTTATGCCGTTCAGACTGAAGAACGCCATAGCAACTTACCAAAGGCTTATTAGCAAAATTTTCAAGGGTCAAATAGGGAAGACCGTGGAAGCTTACATTGATGACATGGTAGTAAAAAGTAAGAAGAAAGTTGACCATCTCAAACATCTACAAGACGTATTTGATGTGTTGAGACATTATGGAATGAAGCTCAATCCAACTAAGTGCTCATTCGGCGTGAGTTCTAGTCAATTCTTGGGACACGTGGTTAATCATAGAGGCATAGAAGCTAACCCTCCCAAGCAGAAGCTCTGACTAAGAATGCCGAGCCGAAGACAATCAAAGAAGTGCAAGCACTTACAGGACGGATCGCTGCATTGAGCCGGTTCATTTCCAAATTGTCAGATTGCTGCAAACCATTTTTTGACACAATACGAAGCCATGGGAGACAAGTTTGGGGGGATGAACAGCGCTGAGCATTAACTGGTTTGAAAGAATATATGCAGAACCTTCCGGTCCTGTCAGCTCCAGAACCAGGAGATAAGCTATTTTTATACCTCGGGGTATCCAACATCGCGACAAGTGGTGTTCTGATCCGTTGTAAAGAGGGGAAGCAATATCCAGTGTTCTATGTTAGCAAAGAGGCCGAACGACGTTATTCAAAGGCCGAGCAGGTGATACTCTCGCTAGTATATGCGAAAAAAAAAGCTCAGGCATTATTTTGAATCCCATCTTATCATCGTTCTAACCACTTTCCCTATCAGAATAATCCTGCACAAACCAGACCTCTCAAGGAGGATGACGAAGTGGGCCATAGAGTTAAGCTCATTTGACATAACATATGAACCCAGAACGGCAGTCAAAGGGCAAGCAGTGGCAGATTTTTTACTGGAATGTGATTCAGAAGACATGGAGGAAGACCTTCATGGTTGCTTGTGGAAACTCTTTGCCGATGGATCCTTAAATCAGATGGGGGCAGGCATTGGAGTCAAACTGTAGACATCAGAAGGCACGTCCCTAAGTCAAGCGCTCCGGTTTGAATTTAGAGCCACCAATAATGAAACGAAGTATGAGGCACTACTGGCAGAACTTAAGCTCGCCAAAGAGCTGAAGGTCAGGAATTTGACTGTCTTTAGTGACTCGCAGTTAATTATTCGGCAGGTGAATGGTGAATATGAAACCAAGGATGAAACGATGGAAGCAAATCATTCTGCTGTTATGCGGGAAGCCAAAAACTTTAAAAAAAATTGAATTCATTCAAATACCGAGATAGCATAACGAAGATGCCGATCGGCTAGCATGTAATGCCTCAGGTCTGGAGAAATATTGGTAAGGGTGATTCCAATAGGAATACTGAACCAGCCATCCATTTTTGAAGAACCTTCGGGCCCAGATCCTTGGCAAGTGAATGTTATTCCATATGAACCAAGTTGGATTAATCCGATCATAACTTACATTCGGAATGGTACTCTGCCTGAGCAAAGAGATGAGGCTAGGAAAATTAAATCGAACGCTACAAAGTACGCCATAGTGCATAACCAGTTATACAGGAGGTCTTTTTCTGGACCGTACTTAAAGTGCGTCACCCCCACAGAAGCTTGGCATATACTGCGAGCTATTCATGAAGGTGTGTGTGGAAATCATTTAGAGGCAAGATCTTTAGCGCACAAAGTATGACGCAAGGGTACTTCTGGCCGAACATGTCACGAGATGCGGAAGAATTCTCCAGAAGGTGTGATAAGTGCCAAAGGTTCGGACCATTGATCCACTAACCACCTGAGGACTTGCACGTAATGGCCACACCATGACCTTTCGCACAATGGGGGATGGATGTGGTTGGTCCTCTGCCAACTGCAAAAGCTCAGAACAAGTATGTATTACTGGCAACAGATTACTTTACCGAATGGGTAGAAACAGAGCCATATCCGAGCGTAACGCAAACTCATGTAAGACATTTCATCTAGAGTAATATTATTTGCCGTTTTGGTGTCTCGAGGTCAATCGTTATGGATAATAGGACTAATCTTGACAGCAAGCAAGTCAGAGAATTGTTGGAAGAATATGGAATCAACAAAAAATTGGCAGCAGTAAGTCATCCCCAGGCTAATGGACAAGCAGAAATTACGAATAGAACAATTTTTGCTTGTATCAAGAAGAAGCTAGAAGACCATAAAGGGAAGTGGCTGGACGAAATCCCGAACATCCTATGGGCTTACAAAACGACCCCTAGACGGCCGACCGGGGAAAGCTCATTCGCCATGGCATATGGAACCGAGGCAGTCATACCGGTTAAATATTTGGTTCAGACTGTCCGAAGCTTAGCATGGAATCAGGAACAGAATGACAAAATGCTGAGATTTAACCTTGATATGTTAGAAGAAAAGAGAGATGCTGCGGCAATAAGGCTTGCATCCTATCAGTAGACACTGGCTAGCAGCCACAACAAAAGGGTGAAGCACAGAGATTTCACACTTGGCGATCTGGTTCTGAAGAAGAATGTAGGAATACTTAAAAAGATGATGTCACCTTAGGAAGGATCATACAGAATTACAGAGGTCATAGGGAAGGGGGCATATGTACTAGAGACCATGGCTGGAAGGTTGGTTAACAAGCCATGGAATGCTACATCTTTAAAAAGGTATTATATGTAGAAAGTTTAAAGTTCTAATTCTGGCATTACTCATTTTCAGTTGTACAGAATTCCGAAATTTATAAAAAGCTATCTTCTTCTAAAAAGTTGAGTTTATAGAAACAGCAAAGTAAGTGGCCACTGGCACAATGAGCTGAACGCTAAAAACTTGCACACAAAAAAAAATAATAATAAATAAAATATAAATAAAATAAAAATAAATAAATAAAATTGTTGTGTGGTAAAGTGGCACACTAGCCGAACGCCAGCCACTGACATACAGAGAAGAACCAGATCAGATAGCATTAAATCATTAAGTCAATGGATTTATGGTAAGAGTTCAATCAAAAGTCAGCCATCTCATTAATAATGAAGTTTCAGAGTTACAAAAAATGAGGTATACAGATGACAAAAATGCAAAAGGAATGAGGTCAGTACATCAGAAAGGTTCTAACTAGAAGCATTTGCCCCGTCAGCTTCTTGATGGTGCTGAACAGCCCCCTCATCACTTTTGGCGTTACCGTTCTCACGGGGAGGAGAATCGAGCTGAATGACAGAATCGTTCTACTGAGTTCTATCCTCAATAGCATTGGAAGAATCATTCTGCCGAGAGTCATCCTCAGCAACAGTGACGGATGGAGTCACAGTGGACAGAGAAAGAACGTCCAGAGGTTGAGCAGTAGAAGGAGTAGGATTGATCCTGGAAGAGGCGATCTCTTGGCATTCATCAAATATGCCCTCAGCAGGGGTGGAGTCTAGGTCGGCATAAACACCCGGAGGATCAAGCTTCAGGTCTCTGTCAACCTCATCAGGGGTACAACCAGTCTGACTTTCATCTGGAACACGATCGGTATAACCCTCTCGGAACCCCTGAGCATATCTGAGGACCCCAACCCTGGAAAACCGAGCGTGCAGAGCTAGCATACCACCATTTACCTTACTGATGGTGTTGAGTAAAGCATTATGCTCGTCTAGAGCTTTTTTCTCAAAGGCCATTCGAGTGGATTGCTCATCACTCAGAAGGCGTAGAAGTTCTTCCTTCTCAGCTTTAAGAGATTCTCGCTCGGTATGCCAAACCCTCTTCTCAAGTTGTAGAGTGTTCTTTTCATCCTGAAGAGAGTCCGTCTCCTTTTTCAGAGCGTCCCTCTCCTTCTCAACTTTGTTGAGCAGAACCATCAGCCCGGTATTCTGAGCACCTAAAGCATCGTTCTCCTTGTTAGCTACACCAAGGTTGTCAGAGAGCATACGAGCCTTGGCATTTACCAGCTCAACCTATTTCTGCATGGCCATCATCCCGTACAGGATCTGTAGAGATATATATGATAACTGATTAAGCCGATCAGATGGTCAGAAGAAAACAAATGTAAAGACTATGTAAAGATTCATTAACTGAGCGACAGAAGTTACCTCTATGGCAGATAAGGGGAATCGGCTGGACACTTCTTTCTGAGACAGACCCTTGGCTACCTCAATATCCTTAGGAGTCCACATTGTAATGTCTGTAAATTAAAAAGAAAAAGAAAAAGAAAAAGAGAAAAGAAAAAAAAAATGTGTGGGACCCACGAAGTTTAAGTGGTCATAAAACCACGTTTTTTTTTCCTTTTTTTTTTTGTTCTCTGTTGTTTCTTC